CTCACCTCAGCCTCCCAAAGGCGCGGGATCACAGGCTGAGCCACCGAGCCCGGTTAATTTGTATATTTTAATCATTGTATTGCCATTTTTTTTCTGTATACTTTTGGTCTGCAAAAGCAGATGTGGACAGCCAACCGTAACTGTTTTCTAGTTCCCTGGTATATCATTTTAATTGGCCCAAGAGTAAAGTATAGGGAAGTATGTCTTTAAAGTATTTTAATTTCAATGAGAATAATTTTTAGGAAATATGCACACACACACACACACACACACAAATACTCCTACCCATAAACAAAGAAATGGAGACTGCATTGCTCCGAAAAATTCCAAAAATAATGGATATGATGCCACAAGTGATCAATGATTCTCCTCTAATGATATCAGCAAACATTTTAGAAATACCTGGAAAGGAAATACAGAATATACTTTAACGTGGTACAAGGAAGTGTACAGTGCCTATGCACAGAAAATGGAAAGAGAAGAGAAGGAACAGGGTAGAAAAAGAAGAAGGAGAAGGAGCATGTGACCACAAGTGGGTGGGGTCTGTAGGACAACCACAGTCACTGTTTTTTAATTTCTCTATTCTGCCTTCTGTATTTTCAGTGCCAAAAGGACATGCACTCCTTGTGTTGCTCATCATCTCCCCCATCATGCTTGAGCACCAGAATGTGATCAGTACATCTCAAGATACCACATTTAGTATGAATAATTCTGAATCAGACTCCAAAGTAATCACATTTTAGAAGTAAGTACAAAAGATGACCCAACAATTCTACTCCTAGGTATATATTCACAATAATTAAAAATATATCACCACCAAAGATTTAAACATAAATGTTCATAAAAGTGGAAACAAATGAATATCTATCAGCTGATAAGTGGATAAATACACATGGGATATACCTATAATAGGACAGTATTCCTCCAGAAAGGAATGACGTACTTATACTGATATGTGTTATCACATGAATCTTGAAAATACTATACTAAGTGAAAAAATTTCCATCTAGTGTCATTTTTCTTTCTGCCTGAATGACTTCCATTAACATTTTTTGTAGAGCAGGTCTGATGGTGATAAATTTCATCAGTTTTTGTATGTTTAAGTCTTCATTTTACCTTCATTTTTAAGTTATTTTCACTGAGTATAGAATTCTAAGCTGACGGTATTTTTCTTTTAGTACTCTAAAAATGTTACTATGCCATCTTTCCATTTTGCATTGTTTCTGAAGAGAAGTCTTGTCATTATTTTTGTTCCTCTAAATAGAATGTGTTTTTTTCCTCTGACTGCTTTTAAAATGTTTTCTTTATCCCTCATTTTAAGGAATGTGTTTTTCATGTGCCTTGGTGTAGCTTTGTGTTTATTGGGCTTGTGGTTTATTGAGCTTCTTGCATCTGTGGCTTTTATTTTTATCAAGTTTAGAAATTTTTCAGTTGAAATTTTCAAATATTTTTTGTTCCTCTTTTTCCTTTTCTCTGGAGACTCATACATAAGGTTATTTGAAGTTGTCCACAGTTTACTGATGTTCATTAATTTTTTACTCTTTTTCTCTCTGTGTCTTTTTCTTTCTGTGTTTCATTTTAGATAGTATACTTTCTATTGCTGTGCCTCCAAGGTCACTCATCCTTTCTTTTGCACAGTCTAATCTGCTGTTATTAAGATACATCTCATCTTACTACTTGTTACCAACTTTGACAGTGACAGAAGGCACAAAAGAATTGGTTAAACAGATTGGAAGATTATCAGCACATTTGATTTATCTGGTGAAGAAATTCTTTAATTTTTGTCTCAGATTCAGCAAGTTAACTGGGGCAACTAAAATATAGGGTTTGGTGTATAAAGCTTTGGATTTGAGTTATAATTTTTTTCATAGTAAAATACCACAAGAATTACTCTCTACTATCTTTATTGGCTTAATGTGGAACTAACTTATATTGATTCATTATAAAATTTGGAAAAAGAAAAAAATAAATCAAAAACCACCAATAATCCACAACCCAAATATAACCATATTAATGTTAAGGTCTTTTTCCAAGCATATAGTTTTATTTTTTACTTAACTGAACCATACTAAGACTTTGTATTGTATTCCTTTACAAGATTATCTTCTGGATCTGCTTTAAAATAAAAATTATTTGCGCCCTATGCACTCCTTTAAAACTGGTAATAAATAGACAATTTCCATTTAACTTGCATATGAATGTTCGCTACTTTTAAAAAGTGAGCTAGTTCACCTCAGATTTAGGTTTTATAAATAAGACAGAAAATAGCACAGGACTCCAAACCCTCATGGGAATAAGTTTCATTGAATAATATATTTGAGTGCCAGACTATATTCTCACTCCATTTTTTTTTTTCTTGATAAACTACAATTCCCTCCACCATTTACCCAGTTACTCCAAAATGGAGGTGGTTCTAACAAGAAGTAGCTAGGTCTTGAAAAAGTCTCATTAGGGATTTTTAATTTTTCTCTGGATTGGCAAACAAACTCATCAACCTAGAATCGCTACCTTGTGGTATATAATTCAGTGGAATGGAATAAGAACACCATTGTATCAGCTTCTAGAAAGATGACATTTTCTTCTTGAAAAAATTATTTGAGATTATAATAGATGCTATTTATCTCAGATCCTCAGTGGTTGTCTTATTTGCCCAGCCTCCTTCAAGTCAATCAGTGCTCCATTCACAAGAAAAAGCACAAACTCTGCTGGATGCACAATTTTGTGCAAGCAAAAATACAATAAAAATAAGGTATTCTTATATTTTCAAGATAAGAAAGAGAAATAAATTTGACATACCAATAGTTTTCAGTAAATTCACAGAATGAAGAGGATCTGTAAAGCTGAGGGTGAAGCTAAAGAGCAGGCAAGATTGCAAATCCCACGAATCTTTATTGACTTTTAGAACTACACATTCAATTATGATGAGTGATGTAAAAAAGCTAATTAATCCAGTCAACAAGACCTGTGAACCAATTCAGAACACAGTATTAGATTTAACATTAAAAGATGGCATGATGGCATTTGCTCACATACCAAGTCAGATCTTGGTTACTTGGTTACCAACTATGTAATTACTCTGAAAGATAAATTTCAAAGGCATTCCAGTTTAGCCACCTGCCTCAAAGAAACCATCCCTTTCAAATAGACAAAATTCTACCTTCTTACTACAAAGAGCGATTCAACTAGCTTTCATGTTGCTATTTCAGTACAATAGTTCTCCATATCGAAAAGTTATTAGAACAGAATGCAAATTTACCTGATTCTATATAAAACATATCTTGATTTATTCGTTTTGAAAGTAATCATTACTAACAGATTGTGTCTAGTACATTATGCAAACTTGTATACCAAGACTCTAAGACATTCAAAGATGATCCCCCCTTTAACTTTTATTAATTGTATAACAAATCATTTTGCAAAAGGAAGGAAGAGGCCATCAAATGCTTGAGATTACGTGACTTGCACAGTTTTGTAATTTCTGTGAACACATTGTTTATGACCAAGTATAAGAAAATATTTATTTTCTGAAATTGTTTTCAGGAAAAAAAACAGTTGTGTTATTTAATCCTCTCCTTAAATTTTCCATCGCTGTCTTGTCTGTGAGGTTTCCACAACTTTCCTGTTAAATTTTTTTATTAAATTAGATTATTTCAGCTAAAATTTTCCATTTTTATGATTTCTTCCTAGTTCTTTGTTTCTTTTTGTAGTGTCATGATTTTATTCCTTATCGTTTCTCTACTGCTATTAATTCTATATATTTGGAAGTTTTCTTCTGCCCCCGTGTTTATTATGATGAATGTTGATTTTTATCAATTTTTTGTCTCTATTGTGATATCATATGGCTTTTCCTCTTAAATCTCTTAAGAACATGAATTACATTAAGAAATTTTACTCAAACCAGGGGACCAACATGAGGCCCAAACTTTACCTGCACAATGACCTTTTGTATACCTAACTCTGAATTATAGCCATCTTTAAAATAAAAAAAAAAATTTAAGAATTTTAAAATGTCAAATTAACTTTGTCATTCTGAAATAAACATAATTTAATCATGTTTTTATTATTTATGTTACTGAATATATTTGTGTCAAAATTTTGTATAGAATTTTTCTAAGTTCATTAACGAGATTGTCTCATGATTTTTCTTTCTCTTACTATTACTATAAAGTTTTGATGATAAGGTTAAACAGATCCTATAAAATAAGTGTGGGAGGGTTCTTTCTTTTACTCTTGTCTATATGACATAAAATTGGCATTTTCTTTTATATTGATTCACAGTTTTTATTTTTAAAATAGACTGGAAGACTGTCTTCTTTTTGGAAAAGTTGTATCTATCAATTCAATTTTTTAATGGTTATGTGACTATTTAGATCTTTTTTAAATTCTAGAGTGAGTTTTGGTAAATTACATATTTTTAGGAACTTTCCATCTTGTCTAAGTTTTTAAATATTGTTGCTGACTCAAAGAAAATGAGACATCAAAACTGGAGGGATGCAGTTCAAGTAGCACTTAAAGAGAACTTTATATAAAAAAAGGGAACTTCATAACTTTAAATGCATGTCTTGGAAAAGAATAAAGGATGAAAATTTCAATGATTCAATTAAACAACAGATTAGACCCTGTAAAAGGAAAAACAGTGAATGGGAAGCTAAATTTCAGAAAATTGCATAGACTACAACATGGAAAAATAAAAGATAGAATTAAAAGTCATAGAGATGATGATGGAAAAATCTAACCTACATACAACTAATGGGAATGAATGAAATAATGGAGTATGGAAACTATCTAAGAGATAATAGTTGGAATGTGTCTAGAAGTGATAAAACATATTAATTCTACAATCTAGGAAGCATAAGTTTCAATATATGTACATTAAAAGATACCAACACCCAGAAACATCACAGTGAACTACAATAGAACCTCCTTATTTTCAGGTGATACACTCTAAAACCCCAGTGGAGACCTGAAACCGACAGTACCCAACCCTATAAATGCTATGTTTTTCCCTATATATCCATACCTACGACAAAGTTTAACTTATAGATTAGACACAGATACTGACAAAAATAATTAACATTAAAATATAGCTATTATAACAATATGTCAGCACCACTACTCTTGTGCTTTGGGGCCATTATTGAGTAAAATAAGCGTTCCTCGATCACAAGCACTGTGACACCATGACAATCGGTCTAATAACCAAGATGGTTACTAAGTACCTCACAGGCAGGGGATAGTGCATACCCAAGGGCAAAGAGATGAATCACGGCCTGGGCAGGCATGAGATTTGTGTTATGCTACTCAGAAAAGCACACAATGTAAAACTTATGAATTGTTTATTTCTGGAATTCTCCATGTAATATTTTTGGACAGCAGCTGACAGTGAGTAACTAAAGGTGGAAAGTGAAACTGTGAATAAGGTGGACTACTGTACAGAACACCCAAGAAAAGGAGACAAATGTAGAGAAAAAAGACACACACTTACAAAACAATGACAACTAGATTGATAGAGGTATCACAAAAACAATAATTAAGCTCAGTTATCATTCAAATTGAGGCAAAATACATTTTCAGAGAAACAAAGACTACTAAACAAAGAAAGGTAACTGCTCACAGACCTTTAATGAAGAGGATACAAAATCACAGCTAGATAGGAATAAGTTCTAGTTTCTATAGCACTGTAGAATGACTGGTGTTAACAATAATATATAGTTTTGAATAGCTAGAAGGAAGAAATTGAATAATTTCAACACAAAGAAATGACAAACATTTGAGACCATGGATCTGCTGACTATCCTAATTTGATCACTGTGCATTATATGTACAAAATATCACTATGTAGCCCCTGAATATTATTACATGTCAATTTAAAAAATAAAGTTCAAAAAAACACTAAAGCAAAAATTAAGGAAAAGGAAGCCAAATCCAGAAAGATGGAGTAGGATGCAAGAAGGAGCCAAAAGAGTGAAGCTGGTGAGCACGTGGACAGATATGGAGAAGCACGGTACTAAAGCACTTACAGTAGTAGCAACCATGATGACTCATATCACAGATGGCAGAACAATGTCAATAATATGATAAAATATGAGAAAGCATAATTGGAGTTAAAGCATTCTGAAGTTCCTGCATTATTTAGAGGAAGACGGAGATATTGATTTAGCTTTAGATTTGCTAAATCAAATATTATTATTAAAAATTCAAGTTTAAAAAAAGTATGAAACCGCTAAGGAAATTATATTATTTAGGAATATAGCAATTTTGTCTGCATTTAACAGAAAACAGCACTTACAGTGTCAATAAGCGGAGATATTGTTTTTCTCAAGTAATTATTAAGTGCAGAGTAAGCAACTTCATGCTGGTGTGGTGGCTCCTGGCACCCTCAAGGACCCCCAGGCTTTCATTTTTCTTTCTGTTCAATCATCCTTAGTGCCTCTTCTCATGTTCACCACCTCACAGTCTCAAGATGGGGCAGCCTCTTCCAGCTTACTGGAGGGCTCTAGGCAGGAAGAGCAGTAAAGCAAAGGGCCAAACGTACATGCTAGCTGATGTGGCTTCCTCACTAAGGACTTTCTAGAAGCCTTATTCAGCAACCTTTTGCACACACTTTATTGCCATGTCTTCTTAGGTTGCCAGGGTTGTAAGGGATGCTGGGAAATATGGTATTTTACATTGGGCCCACTGCCATACAAAACAAAATATAGCAAGTTTCTGCTAATGAGAAAGAAAGAGAAAACGCATATTCGATAAGCAATCAGGATTGTCTGCCACAAAAGTAGAAATGGAATGTAAAACATTTAAACAAGTAGAAGAAACAAAAGAGACAAAGAAAATGGAATCAAATCCATTAAATGAGAAACAGAAGAAAAAGAAAAAGCATGGCAAGCACAAAGTATAAAATAATATGTGAGAAAAAATTCCAAATATATTTATTTTGATTTTTAAAAAATATATTTTTAATTTACAAACAGTCAAATTCACTCTTTTGGTGAACAGTTATAAGTTTTGATAAATGCATGCAATCATGTAACAACAACCACAATTAAGACACAAAACAGATCCATTAGCTCAAAATATTTCCTCATGCTGTACCTTTGTAGCCAATTTCTTCCCCCACCTTTAGATCCTGCAACCAATCACTTATTCTCCAGTCCTTTAGATTTGTCATTTTTAAAAGGTCTGTGAATGGAATTATACAATTTGTATATACTCTTTTGAGTCTGGCATTTTTCCCTTGGCATAATGCATTTTTAATTCTTCCATGTTGAGCCTATCAATTCTCCTCTCCTTTTTTATTACTGAATAATAATCCATTGTAAGATGTTCCACAATGTGTTTATTCATTCGCTGGTTGAAAAAAATATGAGTTGTTTCCAGACTTTTGAGATTATGAATAAAGCTCCTATTAGAGATTCATACAGAGGTTGTGTGTGAATATGTTTTCATTTTTCTTGGGTAAATAAATCCATAGGAGTGAGACTGCTGGGCCATATGGCAAGTACATGTTTAACTTTATATAAAAAAAGAAAAACTTTCAAACTACTTTTCAAAGTGGCTGTGCCATTTTGCATTCTCACCAGCAATAGATGAAGGTGTCATTTTCTTCATGTCCTCATCAGCACTCAGTATTATCAGATTTGTTATTGTTGCTGTTGCCATTCTGATTGGTATGTAGTGGCATCTCATTGTAGTTTTAATATGCTTTTCCCTAATAACTTATGATGCTGAGCATTTTTCCAAGTGTTTATAGTCTCTCCACATATCTTCCTGGGTATCTCAAATCTGTTCAAATATTTTGCCCTTCTAAATCTATTTTTAATCACAATAAATATTAATGCACTAAAATTTGTCTTATTAAAAAAACAGAGATTCTTGGGATAAAATAACAAAATCCAACTATGTTTGATCAGAAAGACATCTAAAAATGAAGTCACCAAATCTTGAAAGAGGGTGGCAAATTAATACCAGATTAAAAAAAAAAAAAAACACTTAGGGGAAAAAAAGCATTATTTGGGATATAAAGGTAACTAAAAGTGGGGTTTATTGTGGGATGTTTTGCTGCTTTTTTTTTTTTTTACAAAATGGTGGAGTAGAGGCTTTAGTGTGACTGGGCCACTTGGAAATAGCAAAATAGTGCATGAAAATCAATTCTGTGAGCTTTACTTCAAGAAGAAAACTGACAGTTCACCAGAATGGTGAAGGACACCCCAGATCCCAGAGAGGATAAGGTAGGCAAGCCTCCAACATGACGGCATTCAACTGATAAAAGTAAGTGAAGCCCCAGTACACGAGCAGGGCAGAGACTCTCCCTCTGTGACTCATGTTTCCACTAGGGATCCATGCAACTCAGGCCAAGGGAGAGAGCACCTTGTTTATCCCAAGTCCCGGACTTAACTGAGAGGTTGAGAGACAGTGAGAAGGAAAGACACTGGAAGAAGCTGCAGACATTTTACAGGCGTGGGACTGAGAAGAGGATGCTATTTTTAATCTAGACTCATACAAAGTCAGTCATTGTTTGGGGATCTGGTAGCAGCAGCTGCAGGCATTTTAGTCTCAGACCTGGAGCAGGAAAGGGTCCCCAGAGCCAGAATTGAGTGGCACATGTGGAGAGTGCCCCACCAGTAGGTGCTGGAATTATGCTCTCTCCTGGCAGAGGACTGGAGCGAGAGGAGAATTGCTGAAACCAGTGCTTCTCTTGGACAGTGAGACTTGCAGTCAGGGACAGCCTTGTGACCTGGAACCAGTCTGTGTGTGCCATTGCTAGATGCCCCATCCTGCTCCCTTAGTCAGTCGGAGGAGAGTGCTCCACGAGGTCCAAGGAGAGGGAGGGAGTCAGACTCCACTTGTGTCTGGATTAGGAGGTGAGTCAAGTCTCCCTTGTCTGTCAAAGATTCAGTGCAATGGTGCTCCGTTCACCACACACCCAGGCATATTTTTAGGCATTCAGAGCACCTGCTGGATTGAATTAGCAGCCTGAGTCGCCACTCCCTTCCAATATTTGGTGTAGCGGGGTTCTCTCCACACCAAGGCATAGCTCCAGGCATTCAGAGAACCCGCTTGCCTGGATTAGCAGTTCGAGCCACACCTTCCTTTCCATGCAGATCTTGGTGCAACTCTCTGCCCCATGCCCAGATAAACCTCCACGTTTTGGTGCACCACTATCCCCTTCTTGAGCCACGATCCCCTTCCAATGCAAAAAAACATGAGCTACTATCCCCTTCCAATGCAAAAAACTTGGTGCGGCAGCACTCCCTCCACCCAACACCCAGATGTAACTCCAGGCATGTGGCACACCCACTCCCAAGGATTAGGAGTTAGAGTTGCTTCTCCCCATGCAAAGACCTTGTTGCAGCCATTTCTCTGTCAAGGCGTATCTCTTGGATGGAGGTGCACCTGCCTCCTTGCAGTAGGCAATTGAGCTGCCCCTCCCATCCTCTGCAAATATTAGGCTGCTGCAGCAGTTTCTTTACTCTTTGCCAGGACATTTTTCCAAGTGTCTGACATATCCACTCACTTGGTTTAGGAATCTGAACTGCCCCTCCCTTCAGGCTCAGAGACTGGTGCAGTAGTGCTCTCACTGCTCAACACCCAGATATATCTCCAGGCATTCCTCTAGATTAGGAGTTTAGGCAGTCCCTCACTTCCCATTTTTAAAAATTTTATTTTATTTTGGATTCAGGGGATGTTTGTTCCATGGGTATATTGCATATAGGTGGTGATTGAGCTCACGCATGTAACACCAATTACCCAAATAGTGATCACTGTACCCAGCAGGTAAGTTTTCAACCCTCGGCCACCTTCTACCCTCCTCTACTCTGGAGTCCTGAGTATCTACTCTTTCCATCTTTATGTCCCTCTCTTTAACTCCCAGTTATAAATGAGAACATATGATACTTGGTTTTTTGTTTCTACGTAAATTTGCTTACTTAGAATAAAGGCCTCCAGCTCCACCCCTGTTGCTGCAAAGACATGATTTCATTCTTTTTTTATGATCACATAGTATTTCATAGTGCATGTATACCATATTTTCTTTATCCAGTCAACAGTTGATGGATACTTAGGTTGGTTCCATGACTTCATTATTGTGAATAGTGCTGTGTAAACACAGAAGTGAAGGTGTCTTTTGGGTAAAACAATTGTGTTCCTCTGGGGAGATGTTCAGTAGTGGAAATGCTGGGTTGAATAGTAGTTCTATTTTAGTTATTTGAGCCACCAAGCTCCTGGAGGTGTGAAATTGGGAAGCCTCCACTGCCACAAATAACCATCTTTGCAGTGAAAACAGGGGCAAATCAACAGCTACAGTGAGATGTGAAGTCAGATGTGGGGCTGGAACCCAGGTCCTGCCATCTATTAACCTTGTTGATGACCGCCAAGCTTAACTTGGCTCATCTGCAAAGTGGAGATGATATTTAGTTTGACTCTTAAATGGAGATTGCCTGCCAAGTCACAATAGTTACTCAGCAACTATTAATTCCTTCCCTCTCCCTTCATCTCTCTTGGTTCTACAGGAAAGGGCAAAACAACTAACAGTGTGAGCTTTATGAATTATTAGTTGTCTATATAGTCAATCGCATTGTCTGTCGACATCCAGAAGCAAGAATTGACTCTAAGTTTTTAAAATGTGTTCTTACCTTCCAAAACGCATTCTTAAGTACATGAAAGTCCACATCCAAAGCAGCCATAAATATAATTAAAGGTGAAAAATAAGAATAAAGTGAAAAACTTGGTGTTCTTAGAAGAGGAGAGACAATTTGGTGCACCTAAAGTAAAAGTAATAAAGGCAAACAGAAAATTAGTTTATGGCTATTTTCAAGTAGTAGAAATTAGGCTGACCCTATGTCAATCATAAATTTTAGAATATTTCAGTTCATAACTAATGAGACATTGTCTACAAGGTCAATCCTAGAGGTCCTGTGGTTCATCTCTTGATCCAACTGTCCAGATAGGTTCTACAAATGATCTTTTATTCACCAGAGAATTGTCTGCTTTTTCGTTACAATGAACATTGCTTGTGGCATTCCATCAGTATTTTGAAAAGTGGTACACCTACAGTTGGTGGTACCAGAAAATATTTTAGGTAACTCACATACAGGTATTTTTTATTTGACTGTAAGATGTTTATTTTCATTTGCATTAGCCAAGGGAAAGGATCTTGAACAGGTACTTGTAGGTTTCACTGACATTTGCTTAAGATTTTAAAGTCGTTCAGTGAGTCGGTAGAGAAAAATAATGCGTAGATAATAGTACCAATTGTATATATAAGACATAAATTACTAAGGTTGTATACAGATTAATGGAAAACACAACAACGATTGAAATGCTGTAAATATTCCCTCCTAAAAAGTTCATTTTGGCCCAGTGAATAGTTTAACCAGGAGGTGTGTCAGTTCATGCATGTAATACCAGCATTTTTGGAGGCCAAGGCAGGTGGGTTATTTGAGCCCAGGAATTCAAGACCAGCCTGGGCAACATAGTGAGACCTCGTCTCTACAAAAAATTTAAAAATTAGCCAGGTGTGGTGGTGGGTGCCTGTAGTTCCAGCCACTCAGGAAACTGAGGCAGAATAATAAAGCCCAAGAGGTTGAGGCTGCTGTGAGCTGTGATTGTGCCACTGCTCTCCAGCCTGGGCAAGAAGACACTGACCCAAAAAATAAAATAAAATTAGCCTTTATTACTTAATCTCCTTGTGACTCAGGTATCTCATCTGTAACATAGCTGTAGAGTACCTATTTCCATTGAGTTGCTGTGAGAGTGAATGCATTAACTCGAGTTAATAGGCTAATAAGTTAATAAATACAAAGCACATAAAAGAGAGACTGGCACATAGTAAATACTCAAATATGTTAACTAGTAGTAGTGTTGGTATTTAAGAAGAGGCTTTTACAATTCTAGATGGGTACAAGCATTATCTCCATTAAAAAAAATGAGTGAAGATAAGTTGTTATAGATCACATTGCTATGCAGTTAAAATCAGGAGCTAAGACTAAATTGATAAATTAATAAATTTTACTTGTGTCTGTAGTGTATATTAAATGAAGCATGTTTTACATTAAATCTGACAGAAAAGAGTAATCACACCTCCTGATGAAAATACCTGCTGTCTTTTATAACCAGGGTTGCTATACGTGTTAGGACAGTAGCAGGGAAGAAGTAAGAGTATGTACAGGAGAAGGAAACCAGAGCAAGGCCCCAGAAGCAGATGAAGAACCCAAGAACACAAACAAGTTTTCCTCACTTTCAAATTATTGCTTTATTTTCAGCTTTCCTAGTTTGTGGCCATTACTGTGAGGTTTTTCATTTTCAAAATGTTTAACATCAGATGACATTTCTTGAGTAGCTATTCGCATTTTTAAAATTTCATACATTCAGGGATGAGGTAGGAGTGGACCTTGTTTTGGGCATTTGCTCTTTAATTATTTATTCTCTAATGTATTGTATATACAGTACCTCAACAAAATTGTAGGCCAGTTGTCCTATCACAAATCCTGATAGAGAAAGAATTGTCAAAGCAATGCCTTCCGAATTCTTTAAACAAATCCTCAAAAGCCCTAAAGAAATACATGTATGTGTTATTTAAACATCATTTAAATTTCAGAACGATTTAATTAATATTCCTTTTCTCTAGTTATTTAATTTTAAACTTCTTCTGAGTGTCATATCATTACAGATGAATAAGTGACAACTGTTACAAACACTATATACAAATACTATATATAAATACTATATATGTCATAAGTATAAGACATAAGGAGGCATATACGATGTAAGGAGGCATCTCTCACAGGTGACTTGGAAGAAGTCTCAGCAGCCTCCCGTTTGCCCACCAGGTGACATGTTAGAATTACTGTAAGGGCATCTTACCAGTGGATCTGGTGGAGAGAAATTATGGAAAAACAAACTTCATTTCTACGTAGCATATCTTATAATAATAATTACTCATCCTAAGCTACCGCAATATATTTCTAAAATGTTCCTAAAATCCAGAAATGCATTCAGCTGAGCTCTAACCATAGGGAAAACTGTTTTCATCAGACAAGCAACCAAAACTTTTTATTCTGTCTTCATTTTCTTGTCTTGAAACTTTCTACTGTCCAAAATTATTCATTTCATCCCTCCAGAAGCATTACAGAGACTACAGTTCAATTAATTTATGCGTAGGGCAAGATTCATTGGCATTCAAGATTTTGCACTTCCTGTCTTTCAGTTAAAAGTCAAGCCAAATCATGCAATAATGGTGTGAAAGCAATACACATTCAGTAGAAAACATACTTCAGAGCCCATACAACTATTCTGTTTTTCATTTTCTGTATTCACTAATAGCATGAGATAGTCAACACTTTTCTATAAAATAGACTTTGTGTCAGATGACTTTGCCAGACTATAGGCTAATTGATAGCATTTTGAGAGCTTTTGA